CAGGCCCCTTCGGTCTACAGGCCGATGCTCTCTCTATCCACAGATCCAAACCGGCCGGAGCGCCATGGGCATTCTTGGCTGGCTGATCCCATTCGTAAGGGAGTGTCAGGATGGTGGTTCTCAAAGTGGGGTCCGTGGACCCCTGGGGGTTCCCGAGAAGTCAAAACCCTACCGTAGGAAGAACACAGAGATGCTTTCCTCCCGTGGCCGTGGAACGGAGTTTTCCGGATTCTGCATGATGGTGTGATATCCAAAGAGACCGAAATAGAAGCAGATGCGAAGAATCCAGCTGTCTGAGATGCCAGGCAGCGGCAAAGATTTCTTTAAACAGATAAAACACGGCCACGCTTCTTACGAAACGAACTATTCTTAGGGAAAAGTCGGCTGTGTCCATGAGTGTTACGTGCGTGAACAAGGACTGGCTGGGCTGTCATTTTAAAATAGATGCGAGGAAATTTCAAATCGGCCTCCACGCAGACTTCTATTGCAGGACATGCTGGCGGGTTTGCCCGTATAAATAAAAGCTTTCTGTCCGGCCGGGGTGGCTCAGTGGTTGAGCGTTGACCTAGGAACCAGGAGGTCACGGTTCGATGCCCGGGCAGGGCTCATGCCCGGGTTGCGGGCTCCATCCCCAGCGAGGGGCGTGCAGGAGGCGGCCGATGTATGATTCTCTGTCCTCATGGATGCTTCTCTCTCTTTCCCCCTCTCCCTTCCTCTCTGAAATGAATAAAAACATATTTTAAAATAAAAATAAATGGAAAACTGTCATCAGGTGATGATTTAAACACACACACACACACCCCAAAGGAGCGCAGAGATCTCAGGAAAACCCGCCTGGAGGAGGAGAGCAAGGCCCACCCGTCTCTGTGAGGAACCCTTCCCCGTAGCCGGGCTCCGTTGCCGTTGGACTTTGTGGCCACAGGCCCGGTATCTCCCCCTCGGATCTCCCTTCCTCCGCGTAAACCCTGGCTGAGCTCGGAGGCTCAGAAGCTTCAGGGGAGCCGACGTTGGATAATGAGACGGTGAAGTAACCTTCCTTTCATGTCTGTTTACGGCTCTGCTGCACGTAGCAACGTCTCGTCGCCCAACACAGCCCGGGGCGGCGGACAGGTACTCAGGGCGCTGTGTCATGTTCCCAGGGGATGACTCATGAAAACTCCACTCCTGGTGCATGTGTGGGAAAGGGGCCCCGTGAATGCATTTTAAAAAATATATACTAGAATTTTGTGCAGGGGGCTCGACCCTCGTAGGCCCGGCTTCGTCCGGAAGGTCGTCCGGCTGTCTGGTCTAATTATCATATTACACTTTTATCATTATAGATTTTTTTTTTATTGATTTCAGAGAGGAAGGGAGAAGGAGAGAGAGACAAACTTCCACGATGAGGGAGAATCATGGACCGGCTGCCTCCTGCACGCCCCTCACTGGGGATCAAGCCCACATCTCGGGCATGTGCCCTTGACCGGGAATCGAACCGTGACCTCCGGGTTCACAGGTCGATGCTCAACCCCTGAGCCTCGCCGGCCGGGCCCCCTGGCTTCTTTAGAAGCGAGTCCTTACACATCAGGAAGTTCATCTGTAAACAGTTCGGAGTCCTGTTCCTCATCCATTGCTGTTGTCTGGCTGCTGGTCACAGCAATGGTCTCTGAGGTCCTGACTCGCGGGCTGGCAACGTGGGCTGGGCCCAGGCTCCTCCCGCAGGTTCTGCCCGGCTCCCTCTCACGCGGGCGGAGTTCGCTGGTGACTTCGTTGGGGCTGGACCGACTGGGATGGCCTGGCTCACACGTGCCTGACCGCTGGCCGGGAAGCCTCCGGCCTCCGCCCGGCCTTGCAGCGGGCTAGCTGGGGCTTGCTTACCGGTGGCAAGAGAGGGCAGGCCCTGAGGGGCAGGGGCCGTGCAAGCCTCTGCTCGCGTCTTGTTTGCTGACGTCCAATTTGCCAAAACAAGTCGTGCTCGGCCACGCCCAGGACCCGTGTGGGAGGATGAGAGAGATGGACGAGGGCTTCAGAACGGGGGGACTCGCCCAGCCGGCTGGCGTGGCTCCGTGGTTGAGCGTCGTCCTGTGAGCCAGGAGGTCACGGTTGGATTCCCGGTCAGGGCACAGGCCCGGGTTGCGGGCTCCATCCCCAGTGAGGGGTGTGCAGGAGGCAGCTGATTCATGCTTGTCTCTCATCATTAATGTTTCTCTCTCCCTCTCCCTTCCTCTCTAACATCAATAGAAACATACTTTTTTTAAAAAGAGGGCTGATGCGGCCTGGGAGTCCTCTCCCTGCTGCCCCCCAGGGGCACGGCCTGTCCGGCCAGAGCGTCTATGCAGTTAGCACATCACACAGGAACCCAGACCGGGTGCATCCTTACAAAAGACGTTTTTCATTTGTTTTTTAAAATATAATTAATATATATATATTTTTAATTAATTTCAGAGAGCAGCCACAGGCCGATGGGCGAAGGGTTTCCCTCGCAGGACGCCAGCCCATGGAGACGGGGCGAGGGGACTTCTTTCCAAGGCACGAAACACGATGGAAGACAACCAGCGCGTGAAGAAACGGGGAAAGGTGGCTCGGCCAACGCGACAAAATAAACCCCCAAAGCCGATCGTAAAAACAACAACAACAGAGACCTATGAACGATCCGACGGAAATTCAGAATAATCGTCTCCCACTCCACGCAGAACTCGGGCGGGAAACGAAACGACACCAGGAAAGTGAGGCATGAACACAAGGAGAACATGGACAAGGAGCAGGGCCACCTGTCTCTCGCCCCGTGACAGGGGGCAGGCGGGTGGCCGGATGGGCCCTGCGCCCTCGGATCACCCTCCCAGTACAGGTGACCATCCCCAGCTTCCATTTAGGGGCTCAGCTCTGAGCCGGCCCTGCTGGCTGGCCGGCTGGCCTTTAATCCCGTGTGCGGAGGCTCCAAAATGCAGGACGCGTAAGCCTGGGGGTGGGCAAGAGTAATACCATTGGGGCCTCAGGGACAGAAGGGTCCCGGGTTCGATTCCGGTCAAGGGCATGTACCGCGGCTGCAGGCTCCATCCCCGGCCCGGGCCCTGGTTGGGGCTTGTGCAAGAGGCAACCCGTCCATGTGTCTCTCTCACATCCACGTTTCTCTCTTGTTCATGTGTCTCTCTCACATCCACGTTTCTCTCTCTGTGTCTCTCCTCTCTCTTCTGCTCTCTCGAAAAACCAATGGAAAAATATCCTCGGGTGAGGATCAGCAACAACAGAAAATTAGGAAACAATGATACGTGTGTCGTCACAAAAGCTATACCTGCCCCCCCCAAGGGAATGTGAAGAGCAAATATGCATAAAAATAATTTTAAAACAGCAAAAATGCGTGTATTTACAGAAGCACGGCCGGAGAATTAAAAATGTATTAAGCCAGGCCAGGGTGGCTCCGTGGTTGAGCGTCCACCTCTGAACCAGGAGGTCACGGTTCGATTCCCGGTCAGGGCACAGGCCCGGGTTGTGGGCTCGATCCCCAGTGTGGGGCGTGCGGGAGGCAGCCGATCCATGATTCTCTCTCATCATGGATGTTTCTCGCTCTCTCTCTCCCTCTCCCTTCCTCTCTGAAATCAATAAAAATATATTTAGCTCATCTCATTGCCACCAAGTGGACTCTTGCTGGCCGGGAGGAGGGAGCCGTGAGCCGACGCCAGCTGTGGGGGGCTGTCTGCCCTGGAGATGTGCCTCTCTGGATCCCCAAATCCCCCCATTTGACCACCCTCTCTCTGTAGCCACCACCTGGCTTTGCATTTGCTAAATCGGCGCCCGCTAAACCTCTGGGGGCGGAGGGATTACGGCTGGTGACAGATGTTATAGACGGACGGGAGTCAGGCAGACCAGGCCAGTGTGACGCCTCCCGGCCGACCGGCCGCAGCTAGCCTGCCCCCAGGCTCTGGGCCTCCTTGTCTGGGGACCCCCTAGGGGACTACCCTCGTGGGGGGATCTGGCCCTACCCACCGAGGGGTGCAGGGGACAGTCATGGGCTCCCCGAGGAAGATGAGCAGTTCTTTCAAGCGGGGCTCGCTCAAGAGCTCCACGTCGGGGTCACAGAAGGTGAGTGAGCCCTGGCCGGTGTGGTTCAGTGGGTAGAGTGTCGGCCTGCGGACCGAAGGGTCCCGGGTTCTGATTCCGGTCAAGGGCACGTACCTCGGTGGCAGGCTCCTCCCCGGCCGGGGCCCAGATCGGGGCATCCAGTCGATGTGTTTTTTCTCACATCGATGTTTCTCTCTCGGTCTTTCCCTCTCTCTTGCACCTATTCAATGGAAAAATATCCTCGGGTGAGGATTCAAAAAAAAAGAGGAAGGAGGTGAGTGAGCATTGCCTGGCGGCCTGAGGGCAGAGGGACAGAACGACAGAGGGACCCTGGTCAGTGGGCGTCTGTCCTCCGCAGTCTGCGGCCAATGGGGATGGGGTGCCCTGCCTTCGGAGCTGCTGCATCCGAACCCCTTCTCAGGGGGCGGGGGGAGGTCCCCCTTTCCTGCCAACCTTGTGACCAACCTCTGTGGTCTCCTGGCTGCTCTGACCCTCAGAGATGGAGCTCAGGCCCTCGCCGGCTGCGTTTGGGGTGTGAGCTGTGCAGATCCCCGGGGCCACATGGGACCCGGCCCCCCACCCCCGAGGTTCTGGACTCTCCCGATCGCTTCTCCTGTGATGACTCTCCCCGCCCCCTGCGCTCTCTGCCGCCGGACCCACCGCCATCTCTTTGGTCCCCATCACATGTTGGGGGAGCACCGTGTGGGGCCTGGGAGACCCTCCGTGAGGGTCAGGATCAAGCTGAGCCCCTGTGGAGATTCAAGCAGCTCCCGGGGCTCAGAGCGAATCGAAACGGGTGCCTGGTACCCCACCTTGTGCAGTCGGTGGGGTCTGGGGGCAAAGAATTCAACAAGAGGTCAGGAGACTTCAACGTTGGTCAAGTTTGCAAACCAGCCCAGCTGGTGTGGCTCAGTGGTTGAGCATCGATCTAGGAACCAGGAGGTCAGGGTTCGATTCCCGGTTGGGGCACATGCCCGGGTGGTGGGCTCCATCCCCAGTGGGGGGCGTGCAGGAGGTGGCTGATCCGTGATTCTCTCTCATCGTGGATGTTTCTCTCTCCCTCTCCCTTCCTCTCTCAAATCAATACAAATGCATTTTAGAAATAAAAAGAGGTATGCCTCCCAGAGGGGGAGGGAGCGCAGCAGCTGGCAGGCGAATGCTCCTGATGTCTGCTTTCCTGGGATTAATGGCCCCGGATAAAACCTTGAACCCGGGAAGCAGGACGGCCGCTAAGCCCGCCGAGAGCAGCGCTGGGGGCCCGGGAGGTCTCTTAAGCGACTTACATTTTTAACGCGACTGTTTGGGGATAAACCATGGTTTTAGAATCTGGGGCGAATAATCCAGAGATGGAGAACCAGCCGGCCGGCCTGGCTCAGGGGTTGAGCGCTGACCTAGGAGCCAGGAGGTCAGGGTTCGATTCCCGGTCGGGGCACAGGCCCGGGTTGCGGGCTCCATCCCCAGGGGGGGGTG